GAGGCTAAGACCTCACTAAAAATGAGGTCAACACTTACTAAGAAAATGTTTTAACCATAAGCACATAATTTAGGGTTCAATCAACCCTTTAAATTATTTTTAAAAACATCTAATCATACTTCTAGGACCTTATTTTTGGATCATTTGAATTTAGAAATGAACGATATTGACACCACTATACTTGTCTCGTTGAAGAGCATCATCTCCGCCATGAATTAGAAAGAATTGGGCACCACATAGCTTTTGAAATAATTTCTATTTCTTTTCAATTAATTTTGAGTGATTTATTAATCCAAAAAATGCATAAAAATTCATGTTTATCATGTTCAATCAAGGAAAATAAAAAATACGTAAACCTCGGATATAGGAAATTGGTACAACTTACCAGAATCCATAAATTACAAGAAACCTCAGATAGCTTGTTTTCTTTTCATTAAAAATCTTAAGAATCTAGCATGAAAGGCTCCTGCGTACCCCATGTTCTTCCAATCTTCATTTTGACGCACAGGGGAACTGAAGATATTATTCAAGATGACATTAGGGAAAAAAATCAAACATAAGGGACTACCATAATAATCGGATGATACCTGAAAGTGAAACAGCGCCCTCCATGCTTGTTTTAAGTAGTTCTGCAGCCTCCCTCAATAAACGGGGATCAACTTCTAACACAAGTTCATCATGCACCTAACAGTTTATGCAAAAATGGAATGTGAAAGAACAATCTTTAATATCACATCATAAATAGCACTATTACCACTTTTTAAAAATGAAATACACATCACATGCATCGGTTTAAAAAACCAAAGTGCTATGCATGTAAATATGCAAGTTTAGGTGTATGATATGTAAATACAAAAGAATTGTGTGCTAGCTATGTAAATTTCTCTAAATTTTATGGTGTATGTACAGATGAACAAATAAAGTGAGAAAGATTTACCGCAAACAATCCTGAATTGTTAGGTACGACTCATATACCAGATAAGGGACAGATGCTGGAGCGAGCCAGCTGAGCGAAGCGAGTGTAGCAGAGCTCGCGAGCGAAGTGGGTTGGGAGTGCGGGGGCAACACCCTCGCGGTACGGTACAAAGGCAATTTTGTAATTACATATTGTACACCAGGGTTATATATATATA